TTGGGGGGGAGCCAGCCGCAGTAGCGATCTGGACAAGCGGCTCAATAACAGCCCTTTCAGCTCTGACAGCTCTGCTCTGGCTGGCCAGAAGTAGTTATCAGATTACCTGTATTAAAACCTAATTAAGATGTGTTCCAGTAAATGCAGCACGGTTATTGGATTTGGTGATTTAGCTGCTGCAGGTTGCTGCAATCCAATCATGCCATTTCAGCAAATTCAGCTCCATGGAGTAGAGTGAAAACATTTTACATCAGTAACCTAACTGTACTGAAAGAGTAAATAACCTTTTAATGCCTCTGCTATGTCCCTGCAGGGTGAATGGATGCTGCCCGCAGATCCCTGCATATTAATTTCTTTCACATCAGCTTGCCAGCGCAGAGGAGGGCTGACAGGTTGTATTGGCTTTTCCCTTCACTGTGGATTAATGGAGCCGTGAGTCCCCCAGGGCAGGGAGCTCACAGCAGGAGCCTTGTGGGTGCCCCTGGCTTAGAAATGTGTTTTTATAAAAAAAGAATGAAGCTTTTGTTTTTGTCCGTAGGCTGCAGTCAAGGGAACGATCACAATGTAAAACAGCGGGTGCTAGTCCAGCTGTGTGGTGTTGGGTGCAATGGAAGTTTGTTCTGCTGGGTGGAATTCACCTTGGTGCTAAAGCTCTGCTTTATGGTTGATGTTTCACCTAGTTTCTGCAGGGTCTTGCGGTGGTTGTCTACCCATAGCTGTCGAAATGTAACAAAACCTATCTATCCCTTTCCTTTTCATTTCTCGACAGGCTAGGGTATAGCCCAGTCTCAGATCCAGATTTTACTGCTGTACGGAGTGAGGGGTGTAGTCTCCTGCAGGTTGTAGTTGCACAAAGTAGCAAGGTAGCTTGGAGCCTTTCTAACATAAAGCTGCATAGAAGCTCCAGGTACTGAGAATCGGAGCAAAACATTTTAACTTGAAGCATTCATTAGAGTTTGTGATGCCTCAATTTTGTTCTCCTTCTGTGGAACCACTTGTCTCATGAAGCTGCCTCTTTCCTGCCTCCATATAGGAATAGGAATTTTGGTTTAGAAAATTATTTGAAGGGTATTATTATTACTACTAAATGGGATCTTACCCGTTAGTGACAGGCTGTCCTATAAGTAGTCCAAACTAACACAGTTTGAGAGCTACATGTCTTCACCTTGTGTTTCAAAGCACCATGATAGAGTGTGGAGACAGCTCCTGCCCTTCAGCACTCCCAGGCCAAGGGGGAGCAGCCACCCAGGATCCCAACGGGACAGGTCTTGCCACTTTGGTGGAAAAATGGTCTCACTTGGAGTGGAGGCTGAGGATACGGTGGTCACTCAGATGCTCAGGACTCAGTACACGTTTACCTGGTAGGTGGTGTTGCCAAAGTGAACGTGGTGACCGTGCAACCTCACTCATTTGTATTAGCCAAATGTGCAGAAGGTTCTGTCACCCAGTTGTAAAAATGATGGCAGGCATCGATGTGCAGTTGTAACATATGGGAAGTACAGTGAATGTGGGTGGAGCTGTTCATTTCTCATCTTGAATCATTTACGAGATCAGCAGGCAGGCCAGATACAATGCATATGGGAATGTGTGGCTGTGCTGCACATGTCACACGTAATAGCAGATACTGTGTGAGGGCCCAGAGCCTGTCCTCAGGAGCTACATGCACCGGAGCAGGCTGGCAGTCCCAGCGTGCGGACCAAGGGTGGGCTTGGCAGCAGTTCTGGGAGAGCAGACTGGTAGACAGAATTTGGGAATTCATGGACCAAGATCTGCACTGACTCCCTCTTTATCCATCATGACCCAGAATTCAGAAAGGAACGTTATTAACCCCATACTCAAGCACTGGAGACAGCTGCAGATGATGGCAGTAAAGCTGTGGCGGGCTAGCCAAGCCCAGCACCGGTGTCACCTTCCTCCCTCTGCTCAAGGGCACGGTCTGAATGTAACGGGGTGTGTAGCAAAGTTACAAAACAGAAAAGCATCACTGAGTAGTATTGCCATAATGAAAGACTTTTCTTTTTACAGCAGCTTATCTGAATCACCCTTTGCATGATCTGGAAAGAGCTTTGCACTAGAGCGCACCCAGGCCTGTGTCCAGGCGTGTTTCTGAAATCTGCACGGGCCGCCTGCGAGTATCTAGTGGAAGGTGGTGTTTTGGCACAGAATTCACATGAGCTGGAAATGAATTCTCTTTGGGTGCCACAGCTGGAGGAAGCTCCTCGTGCTGAAGCAGGAGCTCTTCGGCTGGAGCCTCCTCCCCGCCAGAGCAGAGCCGTGCTGGGAAGGGCCTCTCCTCGGGCTGCATCGGCGGCGTTTGCGCCTGCAGCCAGAACGGGCCCTCCTGCCGCGATGGGCAATGCTCAGCGTCTGCTGCAGAAATGGCAGTCGAGGGGTTTAGGTGCTTCAGCTGCCAGTAAGAATAATTTTGTGCAAGAGGGTCTCTCAAAGACCATATGATTGTTCTTAAAAACAGACTGGTACACTAGCAGAATGGGTAAATTATTAACTGAACGTGGAAGTCAGCAGAAACGTAAATCCTAAGGCCCTGAATCCAGGCTGTAGGGGGTAGTTGTTGAGTCGAGCTCTTGTGTGTGAGGAGGATTTCAGAGCCTGGAGGCTTCAAACAGGTAGGGCAGCACTGGGGTTCTTCCCTTGGCTGTCCGAAGGGAGCACTCCCTACCAGCGCTGCTATAAAGTAATAAGTACTCTAAAAATAAAGGACTGGCAGATGTCTTTATTGCAAATCAAGAAGTGCAGTAAGGTCACATATCCTCCTCGAGTTAAAGGAAGTCAATGGCAAAGCAGTGAGCAGAACTCAGCTCTCCAGGCTGGAACTACGACGTTGCCTCCAGCAAGCACCGCCGTTGTTCTTGCATTCCCTGGGAGCAAGATGCTTGTGGAAAAGCTACTATCTTTAAAAACAAAACAAAGAACAGTACAAGGGTGGGTTTTAGTTTGTGCGTGGGTGTTTTGCTTTGTTTTTTGAAGTTCCATGGCCCTGAAATCACCTCTGGTAAAGAAATGAAGCGTAAACAGCACGTATAGGGTGTAGGTACAGGGAGTGTAAAGTTAGACACAGCGTCTAAGTCTGTACTTAGTAGAGTATCCTGTGCTGTCAAAGTAGTGGTTTTGTTTGCTTCATTGGACGTTTACAACCAGCTGTCACTGTTTGCAGCTAGCTGCATTTAGTTTTGTTCTGATCCCCAGGAGATGGTCCTGTGGCTCTTCAAATCCCTTTTGCAAGGAAATGTTAGCAGAGTAACAGGACCCTGAAATAGGGGTGTTCACAGTGTTTGCTACACGATTGTTGCAGTTTGATTTCAAAGAAGGTGCCTGGCAGATACAGCTCAGTAAAAATACTGGTTTTGACATAGATTTTGGCAGTTTTGTTTCCTAGCTTTTTTTCATGAAATTTGGAGGTGTTTACTAATGCAGTTATTTGAACAATCCTGATTAAGAATGTGAATATTCAGAGTGATAAGCTTAGCTGAGTTACGACAGCTGTACAAGTCAAAACGACCACATGGAGCTGAAAGTAGAAAGATTCGGAAAATCACATGCCTTATTGTAAGCGTAGAACTAATTCCATTAAAAACACAGCCTGTAGGAGAGATAAAACCTAAAAACCTTGTTCAGTTGAAGCTGATTTCAATATGTTAACCAAGAAATAGTTTAAAAAAACAAATGCAAAGTTTAGATACAGAACTAACCTTGACAAAAAGTTAGTTCATGCTCCCTAAGTGCACAGTGTTTAGATGTGTATGTTTCTCTAGAGTAATGTTATTTAAAGACAAGAAGATTCTAAGATATCTGAAAGGACTTCAAATTAAAGACATTTCCATTCAAAGAGTGAAATGCATTTAATGTAAAAACACAATATCCATATTATTTGTATTTATGTCCCTTGCTACAGGTCCCAAGCAGGCTTTTTAAATTTTTCATGGCAGGGGGGACATAAAAAAAAAAAGCCATACCAGGTTTTGTGATTAAAGAAGTAAAGGTGCGGCTGCCCTGTCTACAGCAGTGTTGTCCCAACTTGGGCACTTGTTTTTCAAGTGCAAGCAGAGAGCCTCTGTTTGCTCTTTCCGATACCTGTCAGCTCGTTCCTTCTGTCTTGCAGCCCCTGAGGAGGACCTTTGGAGTGACAGGCTCTTTACATCCTTCCCCAGGAATCCCTGTCACACTATTAAAAGGATCTAGGATGACCTGCTTAATTAACACTAATTTTACTTGAAATAAATGTTGTGTTCCGTAACAAGTTTTGGACATTGACAGGTTGCAAAGAGCAGCGGACGGAAAACAAAAGTTTTTGTCACTTCAGGTCCAGTTTGTCAGGCAGTTGGGATTTCTGGATTTATAACCTGGACTAGCGTGTGTGTGTTGAAGCAGCTACAGGGTGTGCAGCTTGCGTAGCTGCAGGTAGCAGGATGCAGTCCTGCGGTCTTTACTCATGTCAATGGCGAAGCAAATTCACTTTCATGTTGTGATAAAGCTTCTAAATTAGAAGTGCAAACCTTTAAACGTGCTCGGTTAAAGCGTGAAGATAAAAGGTATTGAATGCCCATCCCAGCAGCAATACTTCAGCCCAACCACCAGACTGAGCTCTGTCATCTGGGAGCTGCAACCGCCAGTGCAAACATCAAAGCTTCCACCGTGAACTCCCACTTCAGATGCTCTGCAGCCCTTTTATCTGTTTTTTCCAGGTTACAGCAGCTTGACAAGCACTGCCAGGCCACTGCCCGGCAGTTAGCGGAGTTGCTCAACAAGCAGAATCAGCTCTTCAAAGAGAAGCAGCTGCTTACAGAAGAGGTGCAGTTTCTGCGAACACAGGTACTGTGCCAAAAGAGAAGGAAGTCTGAGGGGAATATTCTGCATCTTTAGCAGAGAGATCTGCCAGCGGTCTCATTTCAGCTGTTGGGTTTTGTTTCTGTTTTAACTAAGGCATTATCTGATGAAAAAAATAAAAATCCATTCAATTGGGTAGAGACTGATAGCTAGACCTGAGTCCCACTTAAACCTTAACTAAATGAAGAAAGTGTTTTGAGGTGACAATAAGACAGAAGTTATTCTTGGTGACAGTTCCTGGCTTTCTTATCAGAAGATTTTGTGTTCCTTTTTCAGAGAAGAGGGAAAACTGTTCTTTAACAGCATTAATGTTTAAGCAGTAGCTTTATGTTGATAGATTTTTTTTTTATTCTTTTGCTGACATTGTCAGTCCCCCTACCACTTTTCCCCCTGCCCCTTATAAAAGTTGTTTGTCTTTCCTGCTGCCTCATGGCCACTCACCCACGTGTGAGCTGGTGAAGGTGAAATCAGTCTGCCTGAGCACGAATCACTGCCCTGCACCTCCAGCAGGACTGACTCTTGCTTCCAGCACTGCCCAGGGAGTTAGGGCTTCTCATGGGCTGTTGGGGGAGGTTGGCCACTTTGGAAATAAGGGAGAGGGCTGTGTGGTTTGGAGTTTTCCTTTGTCTGATGTTTACTTGTTTCAGAAAAAGGAGGAGAACTAACAAGCACAGAATGAGGTTTTCAGTAAAACTGTGAAATAATTAAACCCTTGTTTGGTGACTAAGCAAATGAACTAATTCAACCATAGCTTGATGTTTTCTAACCTGCAGACTAGTGAGTTTCCCCAGGATAACTGGGGATCTGTTAACAAGGTAACAAAAGACGTTCAGTGTAGGAGATTTAGTCCAGTAGCACACCTAGCTAAAAGTAAAGAGTAAAAAAACTAGTAAAATTAGTAAACTAGTAAAGAGAAAAGTAATCACCTTAGAACTTCAAAATATTTAAATCATATTATTTTTCATAGGCTTTTTTAGCTGTAGAATTTAATAAATGTTTAACCCAGAATAAAATCCATACTCTGTTTTATGCCTTTAGTCATGTCGGCGGGTTTGGTTTTACAGGATTTCCTGTTGTAGGAGGCAAACTTGGTAGCTCAGGATAGTGTGAGGTTATCAGCACATAGTAACTACTGGCAAATTTCAGGGCAAACACAGTGTTCTCTCTGTAAGATAGTTTAAGAACGTGGCTGTTCAGAAAAGAAAATTAAAATTTCTGTTTTTAAGGGAAGCATTCTTAGTAATGTGAACAGACTTTATGTGGTCCGCAGGGATTTTGTTATTGATAATCTTATTTTCTCTGGAGGCAAGCATGCTTTTATGAAGTTGGGCAGAAGTACAAAAGTCATACAAAAGAGGAAAAAATCATTCAGATATTATACTGCTATCAAGACTTGACTGGCAAAAGCGTCCTCCTTTATGTTCATTACAAGTTAATTGTGCTCCAGAGGACACTTTTTAACTTGAGAACACTCAGAAGAGAAGAATGATATGAAAAAATTATTAAAAAATAAGTCCTAAAAATCTATTTGCAACTATGTAAAGCAACAGTGGTTCCCTAGGAATTGGAATTCAGCCCAAAAGAGCTGCCTGGAATATCAGACAATTGGTTTAAGGAAACTAAAGAACAGTTCACTGTAAATGGGAGATTTTAACTACAGAAAGATGTATGTAGTTAATGTAGAATATATATATAAAAAAATCAATTGCAGAACTGGTGTTGATCAAAGGTGAAAGTGATATCATATTCCCCATTTTATTATTCAACAGTTCTTCTTTATTATCTTTTCTTTTTTTCATGGGGGGAAAGGAGAGAAAGCAATCATACCTAATCTTTTAAAAATTATGTAAAATACACTAACCTAAATGTGCTGTTGTATCTTGGAAGATAAGCCAGTAGTAACTGCAGTTGCATATTTCAGGAAAGAAAATGGGATGCAGATCTCAAACAGGACACAGATGGAATCAAGTAAAAACCTGGATGGATGAAGAGAAATGAGCAGAAGTAGGTATTTTTTCTGTATCATATATAGAGAGAGGGGAGGGAAAGGAAAGAAGGACTAAAACTATTTGCAGATGTAGGTTCAATCTGGCAAACACTTCAAGACAAAAGGGAGAAGAACATGTTTGAAACATTTTTAGGTTTGAAATTGTTGGAGCTTTTTGTGGTTTTTTTTTTAACACTTAAAAATTGCACTCCATAGCAAAGACAGGTTTACCTGACAGAATTTAAAAAAAAAAAAAAAAACAAAACCTAAAAAAAACTAAAAAAAACCCCAACAACAACAGCCAAACAAAAATCTTAAAGATTTAAATTGGAGGGAAAGGGAGACATACAACTCGTAGCCAGGTGGGAACTTCTAGATTAATTCAGATTTTACCGTAGGTACTTTTGGTCTGAAAAATCACTGAGCGTTTGTCTTTTGATCTGTATTTAGTTATTTTTGTCGCTTCTTCTGAGGAAACAGAATCCTCTCTATTTCTTCAGAAAGGCTAAAATTTGCTCTGTAATAAATCATAAAACTTAGTGTCATACTGAAGGAAACATTCTATAATTGTATTTGGAGCAGTGCTGTTGGCATTACAGTACTGCTCCATAGTTCCAGCTGTTCCTGTTGCCTTGAAGAGTTACTTTTGGGGCTTTTTTTTTAATTTAAAAGTCCCGGATTTTAAAATTGCATCATTTATTTTAATCTAACTGACCTAGAGGGAAAAAAAAGAGACACTGTCAAACCTCTAACCTTCATTGGATTTGTTTTCAAAAGTCAGGTTACTTCCACTGCAATTTTTATTTCTAGTACTAGTGTTTGCTCTGTGGGGAGCGAGGGAAGGAAGTCAGTCAGTCAGTCGGTCTTCAAATCCAGCTGCATTCTGGTGTGAGATTTTTTTGTCATGGACAACTCATTTGATTCTGTAAGGAAAATTCTGTCATTTAAAGTGAATGAAAAAAGTCATCACAAAATAAACACCTGATCCTGCTACATGCTGAATTCCCTTACAGGCAACATGAGTTAAAAGGCTTTTAGCATCCTCCTTGAATGAGTAACCAAGGCAAAAGTACCACAGTTTTGGAAAACATCATTCTCATCAGTGAATTACATCCTTTTAAAATAATAATGTTAAATCTCCTATTACTGAAAGAAGCTCAGTGTTATTTCAGAATAACCACCTGCCTACAACACGATAAGATGCTCACCCTGTCATTTTCATTTTCATAGAGCTAAAAAGGACCGGTATGGTAACGTGGCCTGACCTCACAGCACGGGCTGTGTATCAGGCCATTACACTAATGGTTAATAGCTGGCACTAATATTTAATAGTGGTATAAAGTGTAACATATTCAGGTCCACGTAAAGGTAGTCAAAAGTTTAATTATGGCATTTACACCTGTTGTTTTGAAAGTTTTCAAAAAACTCAAGTTTGGAGTTTCTACCTTTGAAAGTCTCTCTTACATTGATTGCAACTCACTCCAAGTCAGGAGAAGATATTTAGCTCCTGACCTATAGAGTTACTAAATACAAATGTGCACGGTATAGCAAACTAACATCTACACTGAGATTACTAGAGACCTCAGCGCTGCTCGCCCAGTGTGAGTATGTTCCTGAAAGCTGGATACTTCTCACTTGCAGGATTTTGGTGTCCATCAGTTTGACAGAAGTAAGTATTTGTCCCAGTTGATACCTCCCACGCAGAGCCTGGCTGCTGGAAGGGCTGGCTGGCCAGCTGAGCCAGCAAGGTGCGCAGACTGACAGGATTCAGCCCTCAGGGATTACCTCCAGCCAGGGCTGGCATCCTACACTGCTGCCTGCTGTCCCCCCCGAAGGTCTCCTCCTGCGAGCCAGCCCCTCCCTGGCAGGAACTCGCGCTCTCTCTATGGCTGAGCCACTAAACTCTCTCCTCCCTCATTACAGATGTCTTTTTCACAGTGACCATGTCTGAACAGACCACCTTTCTTCTCAACAGAAGTTAAAATATACTCACCCAGGACTCTGTTCCCATCCTCGCCCCTCTGGTCGCTCAGTGGGAGGTACTGTCAGAATTACAGCTCTTCCCGAGCGGTGGTTTTCTTTGTTTTCTTACA